GATTGCCATTTTGTTTTGTTCTGATCCAGACGCGATTCGATCGGTGCGCGAGACTTTTGGGTGAGTGGATTTGGGATAGTTTTCAGGTATTTTGATGAGGATTCTTGTTCATTTTTCTGTCACAGCAACTGTTTTACAATATATTTTATGTTCCATGTTTGTTGCTGTGCATGGTAGTATTGGTGTTAATGTTGTAACGTCGGAATATTGTGGTATTCGTGTTGTAATACCGCAGTGTTGTGATGTTAATGTTGTAATATTGTAACATTGATAATGTGTTGTTGCAGTAGTGTGATATTAATATTGTGGTATTGAAATATTGTGATATGGCAATATTGTAATACTAACATTCCAACATTAATATTATCACTATTTGAATATCATCAATACGAATATTATCAATATTAATGTTATTACCATTATTAATATAGTAACGTAGACGTGTCATGAGATGAGGAAGATTAACAATCGCTGACTTAGGAACATGTCCGTTCTCCATCCGTTGGTTCCCATCCGAATGGCGGTTGAAGCGGGCAGCAGAAATTCGTCGAAGCGAACCGAGGCGATCCGCGCGGCGAATAGAGGCACCGACCGTGTCAAGCGCGAGTCATAAATACACCAAGCAACGATATATCGAAGGTACATGCCTCTGTGCCCCCCTTTTCCGAAAAAGCGTCCGGACGCCACGAAAATCCCAGCAGCGACGCGATCGTCTTTCGACCCGAGCCACAGCGATCAATCTTTCCGCGATACACCGCGGCCGCGCTCAGAAATTTGAACCGCGATCTAGCAATGGAAACGAGACGATTCAAGTTTTCAGTTCTTTAAGATTTCCAGAATAGTTGAATGCGTTCTTATTCGAAATTATTGGATAAATCGATTTACCGTACACGCGTTAAGATGAAAACTGTGGAATCACTAGATAATGCTGGAACTGCCGACGTATTCAAATTAATGCATACAACTCCTTACAAATAGGAGTAAATAGAAATAGAGGAAATCGTAGAAGTTGTACGAGTCGTACCACTTCATTTGCATCTGAATAATATTACTTTCTCCCTTTCGTTCCTAAAGAATCTACAAACAGCGATCAGCTAACGCAATCTCTGATGCAATAAGTTCAGTGGCAGGTTGTTTTGTTTGTTTATTTCTCCTTGCGTTCAAAGATACTCGAATCCGTCGCTATTTCTCACCCCAAACCCCGACGGCAGTTTCTCGAAGACCTGGAAACAAATGGTTCAGCGAGAAAAATGGAATTACAGCGTGATCCAGGGGACCGCAGATTTCGGATGTATGGAACTTCGAAACTTGTCTATTTGGCCCCGTTTTAATCCAGACCCGAGCCTGCGGTACTTATTCGAGCGGCGACCGTGAAAAAGACAAATCGCGGTTCGAGAATAGGTGGGGATTATCAACGATTTATATCCGTCGCGGAAATTCCGCGTTTCGCGTCGAAAAATCTTACGCGGAGCGGAATCTCGGTGCTCCTCGGACGTTGCCAACAGCTACAAATTCACTAATCTAATTGTTTCAAAAAAGAATGAACGGTTGCACAACCGGCAAGGTCACGAGGAATTCTTGGTCCATGGAAAATGAGAAATTATGTTGGTTCCAATCACTTTGATTTCCTTTTAAATCTATTCGTGATCTATCTCTCACATCACTAACCTATTTCAACGACAGTCTTATTCACGTTAGAGAAACTCGAACGTGTCCAACTAAATTATCAGATAACACGGACGAACAAATAAATTTCGAATGAATTTCAATTCTGCTAACAATACAATTTTATCAATCACTAAACTATGAATCTTTACATTCAAATATTTCAGTGTATAGTTGAGACAACAGAATTACGATGGAAAGTGGTTTTTACACAACAAATGTTATAGAAAACACTATACACTACCAAACTTCTCATGAATCCATAAAGAGTATTAACACTAGAGCAATCGAGCGTTTAACATGATTAATGTTAAATTAACATATTAATTATAAGTACTATAAGGATAACAATTATGAAAGTTGTAGCAATAGATTTTCCCTCGGTTTCTTCATATATTGATTGTAGTATCGAAGTGAAACTATTTTTTAAGTCACATGGGATATCCAACACTTTCAGGTTATCGATAATTACGAAATAAGAAAACTGTCACTTTGACAGGCCCGGTTTCAGTCTTTAGACGTCTAGTCTTCTAGTTCTAGTTTCTAGTTTTGTTAATCGATTTGACCAACGAGTGGCTCGATTACTATTACATTCTCATTCAACGATTCCCCGAATCGTTACATTTCTCCACGATTCCCCTAGAATTGCGAAATAAAAGAACGTAGTCTCGAGCGAATCGGTTTCTCTCTGCTGCCGAATCAATCTCTCGATCGTATCTAGGACAACCGTGAGAGGGTGTAGAGGGGGCGGGTAGGTCGTCGAAAATTATAAACACCACGCACAGTTTATTTTGCGTCAAGGTGCAACGAAGCTATTCGTAGAGTGGCCGCCTAATAATAATCGTACTTCCGATCCGTAGGGACCGTTCTGCTCGAGGGTATTGTATCGTAGCCGCCATTGCTGCCGCCCGCTTCCTGGGGGCTCGTTCCGTCTTCGAAACGCGAGCCGAATCGGCCCGGTCGCCGCTGCTTTATCGGCCTTTATCTCCGAATAGAAACGTGGCCAGCCGGTCGGGCGAACACAGTGGGCCCCTTGTTTGGCCTTTCGGAGGACTGCCGATGGTCTCAAGGTAATTTTAACGCTAGACGTATAGGTACTCACCGCGATCGGTCAAACGACCGATTTTAAAATTCAACACTAAAACTACCGGACGGTTCAAATTGATCGACAGAGTTTTTATTTTGCGAGTATTTGAATTATGAAGCTGTTTTTGCGAGTGAATTTAAATTGAACTTCCAGAAAAAAGTGGAAATAAGTCGTTCTAGTTGCTTCGTAGTTTTAGTGTTAAACGGATCGGCACTTTATATACACTTATTCCTAAAGTAACTGGTCAAATAGCCGATTATATAACAAAGGGGAACGAATTAAATAAGTTTTTTCAAAATAGAGACAAAATAGAAGACAGAAATTGAAGAATCGATTAATCGGATAATATAATTTTTCTTTGTTAGAGGTATCCTGATATTTTATGATGTAAATGGCTCTTTTAAAAAAATGTGAACCGTCTCTTCTACATTTTTCCTATCATGAAACCTCAGAAGGTTTCGACTGAAACTTATCACATATTTCAACATGTACGGGGACTTTTAACAACCGACTCAAAGGATGGGGACTTTTCGAGACGGAAGTGCTCGCGGACCCCTCGAACCAATACGTTCGCACTCAAGTGGATCGAGGTTGGGAGTAAACTGGAATTTTCTTCTCGTTGACACTCTTAACGAGTTTGTTAACGTTATCGGCATTTTGAGAGATGTAGCTTGGTGAAAGACGAATGCCACTAGAGTTTACGTTTTCGGTTTCGTGCAGTTTGGAATGAATCGATGATACTTGAACACTTTCAGCGAAGTTTATGGTATGTTCATGTAATGTGGGATTATTGAACCCTCTTTTTATATTGAATATTGTTAATTGAAAGATTCTACCGTGAAAAAGGAGATTTTTTAGGTTCAATTTCTCTTCCGTTAGTTCTAAATCGCAACAATGGTTGAACGACACTATATTACAGGATATCGCCGATTTCCTAAGTACTCCAGTAAATTCTAAATAATTAAAAAACTCTCGTTCTTCTTAAAAAATATCGCCTCATTACTACACATATATTACAAACAAACACCATTCGTTCATTACAAATCTTATTAAATTTACTTAGAATGTTTGGTTCCGAAAAAACCAAAGTCTCGTATTCCTTCAATTTCTTATTGTTGAAGCAACATTTCCACGATCGTTATGTGCAAGATGTTTTCAAAGTATGAATGAGAAATCACACGTTCGACAGAACTCGACGAAAGAATGAAAGAACCGTTGATTTCGTGAAAATAATTCGCGAGGGCTCGAAAGCCTCGGGCCGAGGATCTTTCAGCGAGAGATCCGGCGAATACCGAAGCGTTCGTGGCATACATCAAAATCAAACGGTTTCTATTTATACGTTTAACAGCGTGCAGCGGCGACGGGTTCGATCGGACACCTGTTCCCATTCAAACAAACCCGATCCGCCGATTATTATTTCAATCTGTTGCACCGCATCCCCCCCCAGCTTTACATAATCACGCTGATTACACGATCGCGCGGTGTATTGCACCTTATCGACGTTGCACAGATTATTTTTCCCTAACCTCTCCAGACGAACTGTATAATTTTCTACGATTTTTCGACCCAGTTCCGCATCTACATTCTTCGAGCCGAGGTCACGAATTGTCTTCTTTTTGTTCCCTTTCAAACGTTCCTGCTTCAACCCCCACGATAAATCTCCCTGTATTTATACTGCAAACAAGAAATTAAAAATACGTGGACAGGAAGAGACGTAGTGGAGATTCTTGAGAGAAAATCGAAGAACTTGAATCGATTATCTTCGAATGTCGTGGGTTTATAGGCATTTTTATCTCATTGCAAAAAATAGTCGAATTCCTGGGGTAACTTGGAACCAGAAAATGAATCTTTAAATTTGAAATTCGCTGGACAGTACGGAATTTTGTTTTCAACTTTCGATAGCTTGAAGTGTTCGTTTTCCTACCTTCGATGAAGGGTTTTAAATTTAACTATCGATCGTTCATCGTTATCTCAGTTTACCTCAAAGGACGAATTAAAGTAGGAAGAATGTAATTTTTAACTGAAGTGCTGGAGAAAATGGGAAATTTAAGTAAAAATTTCGTTTCATTGAATCATAAATTATATCTTTCGCTTGACTTCTTTGTGAATAATAACATAACAATATAATAGAAACGTCGTATTACAAATTAAAGCGACAACACGTTCTAACCAACCTAATATTTATCAATTCGTCCTCTTCCAAATCCACATTATTTTTAAAATCCATATATATTAAAGAAAAATTTCATTAAATTATGAATTTTATCTTTCTCTTGATTTCTTTGTAAATACAACAATATAACACCGTATCGCAAAATAAAGCGACAACACTTTCCAAGCAACCTAATATTTATCAATTCGTCCCCTACAAAATCCATCTTTAACCTTTTGCACTCGATAGGCGACCCCCAGTCGCCAGATGAATTTATACAGTAAAATTACAAACTTTTGTATTTACCATTAACCTTTGTATACTGCACGAATACGTAAGTTATTGAAAGAAAATAGTTTTGTTCCCTAATTTATGTGTAATTTCTTGATAAATTAATTTTAAAGGATCTTGTCTACATCAGATTGGAAAGTATTGAATATTTCAAGTGAAAAACTTTCGAGTGCAAAAGATTAAAACTAACACATCCTCTATAATCCCCCAGAGTAGTGGCAGATTTTTTCGACGCCTCGTTTTGCGATTTTGTTTCCCGCGGCCGGCTATTTTCGTAGCTCAATTTCAAAATCTAAACGTTCTTCCTCCTTCCGCCCGGTGGCCTCGATTCGCTAGATTCCTCCGGCTATCCTCTCTCGGCCGTCTTCCCGTTTAATCAGCGGGGATAAACACGCGAGCGAGACAATGACAGAGGGAAATGGGGGACGGTGAATTTGTTTGCGCTCGAAGGGGAAAACGGTGTCGCCTCCGGCCGCAGAACGTTTATACCGATTCTGTTGACTTTGCAATCATATTATGCCCGGCGATCGATTTATTTGTTATTCCTTCCGCCGATTCCGCTCGAATAATACGTATACGAACATTCGCGGCCCGAATGAAATCGAATAGGCTGCTAGATGTGTATTCTTTTATGCGGAGCCAAGGAAAATATCTCGCTCCACCGGCTGAACGATGAATTATCGGCCCCCTTATCTTCATTCACGTTTGTTTCGCTGTTGATAATTGAGCCGCGAATGATTCATCGAGAGTTAACTGAAATTTGGGAACGTTATTCGAGAGATATCATTGATGTTTGTTTTATTCAATAAGGCGAGTTGATTCGTCCTTTTCCCGTTCGCGATCTTATTTGTTCGAAGGAAAAGTGTTCTGTTAGGGTATCTTCAATTAAGAAAACTGAAATTATGTAACACGTTGACTTCCACGAAAGACATCAGCGTTTTATGTATCACTTATTCTTTCTCGAGGAAAGATATAGAGGAAAAATGATTATTTTCTATTGCGATTGCTATGTTACAGTATTATCTAGCTATTTACGCTACTGAACAGTTTTATTCGACATTAGTTATCTTATAAACTACAATTATTTACTTGTAATTTGGAAGCTCCATCGTGGCAGTCAACGTATTAACACTAGGTTTACGGAACCCGTCAATTTGACGCGCATCGAATTTTATAATTATTTGATAAATGTTTACGTTGATTTTTATTGATGAAATTGCACGTATACCTCACTTGATTGTGTATTTTCGACACCCTAATTTCTGAGATCTAAATCAACGTACATCAATTGTTTAGCGGCAATAGAATTAAGACATTTCAATGAGAAGAATGGTTTTTCGAGAAAAAAGAGGAATTAAATAGTAATTGACTAATTAATTCGTTCTTTTCATATCTTAACTTTATGTATCCGTTCCTGTAAAGCCATTGGAGATATCAAAACCCAATTGTAATCGCACTTTTCTTGCGGTCTGATAAAATGAGTGATACGCAAGGTTGCCTGCATATTCGTTCGTTAGAAACGCGATTTTTATGTTAAATAATGTATCGTAAGTATTAAATATCTCTCCGAGAAGTTATATTCCTGTAAACAAGAGATAATTATAAATGTCAATGTTCACATAAGAGACGTCAGAATACACGTGAAAAATGTCTCAAGCGTTCAGTAAGAAAACGTTGCATAAAAGTCGGTGAATTCGGTATTGATGATATTAGAAGGTTATCCACACACGCGTTATCTACGATCGATGATAGATCGTCGATGTGTGGTGGGAAAGATGAAGGAAAGTTTGCCCGTAGGACGTAACAACACGCGTGTCATTCGAGGAATCGATTATTTTCAATGTTATAATTCTCGTGGAATAGAAGACTAACTGGGTCCATAAATATTCCATTCGCAGCGACAATGGTCGCCTAATGTTCGGTATAAACGGGTTAATCCGCTCGTTTCCAGCACGCAATAAATTAGTCAAACGATAATCGCGATGGGGGGTCGCGTATCCCTTTCGAAAATTTAAATATCAATAGCCGATAATCGTGCCCGCGGCCGGAGGAGTCTTGCGTCAAGCTCAATAACTCTTTTCACGAAGCGTCTTTCTGCTTACGAAGACGACACGAACGCGTTCCATCGAGATTAAGGGGAAATTTTACGAACGTTAACGTTCGGAAACGCAAAACTCCTTTCGCATCGATCTAATTCTGTCTCGGTTAACATTGGCTGCAGGACAAGATAGAGACAAGCTTGTCTCTAGCTTCAATTAGGTTAATATTGAAGAAACATCGATGTAACAAAAATCAGCGACCCTTTAGCGCCAGGTTAAAATTAAACTAGGTTAAAATTGGCCCGCAGAACAAACAAAACAGTAAGCTCCGTCCCCACGGAAGCTAGGTCAAACTAAAAAAATGTTTTTTATAAAATTATATCCTAGCCTGTGTCAATCTAAGACAATTTATCCAACGATTTCCCAGAAAATCATCCGTATTTTTTCAATAACAGTCAAGGTCATTTCAGTCCATTTCCGATTTCTTCTTCCGCAATTATTAAAAGCCAAACACACTTCTCTAAGGAATCACCGAAGAAAGTGATTCACCGGTACCGAAATCGAAATACAAGCCCACCGTCTCAATAAACATACTCGCACAGTCTCCACGCGAAAATTCAAGACAGCCAAGTCGCCTATTCGTTAGTCCTAGCGTCGCAGCGCGGGACTCTCGACGATCTGCGCGTGCAACGGTCAAAGGCGATCACGTCGGGAGGATCCGGTATGGTGGGGGACCGCTAAAAGCTTGTCAATTCTCGTCAGAAATACGTTCCGCTGTTCTCTCTTGCCGGGTGCGTCTTCTGTGTCCTCTAAAAAGAAACTGTGCGTGTCCTCCAGCAAGCTAGAGCCGGCCGGCTTGTTTTCGGCCGTCGAATTCTTCGGCTCGCGGCACCGCAGCTTGTTGCCCAACCTCGTCCTCCTCCTCCCCAGCTCGGGAGGACCTCTTTCTCTCCTTCTCCAACGTAGCTGGCTGCCAGTTCCTCTGGTGTACACCGATCTACCTGTACCTGTGTTCGAAACACGGTGACGCGCGTGCACACGCGGCAGAGGCTGCTCGCGCGTTTCGTAAGAATTTTATCGTTCCGTATTCGGAGCCTAATGCCCTTGCAACTCCTCCTTCGTAGCCTTCTATGGTTCCTCCTTCTGCTCCTTGCGCACCTCCACCTCCACCGCCTCTTTCACCGATCTCCTCTCCGCGCCAGCGCGCCCCGGAGGACCGTCGCGTTCTCGTGGGCCGGTTACACTTTCCACCGACACACACGGTGAAGCTGCGGAGAAGAAAAAAACTGACTTCCGAGGACCGGATCCGAACGGGCCGCGACAAGGGCCCCACCGTCGAACCCATACCCACTGACCTATATGCCGGGAAAATGCCTCCGCTCGCGTCTTCCGAGACTTCGGGACGATCGGTGATCGGGATCGCGATTTTTCGGATTTCTATTGTTTCCTGCGGTTTCGGTGGTCCAGTGGTTTGGAATAATGGTCTAACTTGATTTTTGAGTTCTTGGGGAAACGGAATATTTTCTGAAATCGTCTTGGGTTGATCACTGGATATATTTGACGTTTTTTGATGAGATAGAAAGGGTACTTTTTTGGAACCGATCGAAGAGACACGTGAATTTCAATGTTCCCAATGTTGATGCATCGTACAAGGTTTAATATCGAATATCGAACTTCGTAATTTCTTAATTTTCACATTATATTAATAATTGATGATAGTTAATATTATTAATGGCGTTGTGAAGTTCGTATTAACGATGAATGACACGGTAACAAAGACATCTCGATTCTCGTGGGTTCGTATTTTTGCTTTTGGCTTCTGTATTTAAAGGAAAATTATGAACCTTTTCTGCAACATATCAGAAGCAGAGACACCGAGATGTCTATTAATAGGTTTCCGGTAGATAACACGGTCGAATAAGGAAGACAGTGTTTGCATTCCTTGTTCATAGGAAATGCATAGGAAATCTGTGTCCTACCTCGGAATAGAATTCCGTGAATTTCCTTCCGTGCTTAGTTTGGTTAGTGGAAGTGGTTAGTGGAAGTTTGCCGTTTATAGGAACACTATCAAATGTTGGCACCTTGAAATTGATCGGTTGTTTTGGTACCGGCAGTGTCGTTGAACCAGTGGTAAACACTCCGCGGTCCTCGGTGATGAACGAAGGCCGGTTTCACTCCGCGGGATCGATAAGGATCTCCAGCTTCCGGTTACGTTATCAGAATGCCGCGATTCAGGCTGAGTTCCTCTTTGTTCCGCCGTGTATCAAGGACGTATCAATGGGCTTCGCGTTCCCGAGAAAGGAGAACGTGTAATAAAGGGAACGTGGCGGTTGTACGAAAAAAATAGAGGTTGCAGAACAACAAAAGGCCACTTGGAAATGAAGAAGGTTGGCTGCGTCAGTTTGCGTTCCCATGTTGCGCTTAATCGAGACCGGTAAATCACGGAGATCGGATCAGATCCGCGAACCATTTTTATTTTTTCGAACCGATTAACCCTTTGCGAACAAGGACTGTTTAAAGAATTCAAAACTTTCGGCGGAGGAAATTGAATTACGTGTGTAACTCTTAAATTCTAGAGAAGAAGAAAATTGATGATAAATTTATTATTAATAAGAAGAGGAATTAACGTTAAACGTGACATTAAAATTAATATTTAAAAAAAAGAGGAATTAATATTGAATGTAATATTAATTTAAAAATATGAAGAAGTGAATGAGAATTAATATAGTGCACCTGATACTCTTGTTATGTGATTAATTAAAATACTTGTTTGCACCCTCGTGTTCTAAATACGAGAGTCTGCTGTCACCATTACGACGACGTCCGTTCTCAAAGGATTAATCTCGCGAGCAAGAAGCATGAAGGTGCATTCTTTTCTGCGTGAACGCGATTCTGTGAACGCGTTTCATCGCGATAAGTGTTTCAACCGTCTAGTTAAACCGCAACCGAGAATGTCGCGCGCCTATCAGCGACCGGCGCCCAAAAATCCCCGAGAACTGCAGATATACCGTGGCCGCAGGCTGCCGAGGTTTCGTTTATCAACGAGAATTGCTTCGACAGTAACAACATCCACTTTAGATATTCCTCCGCAGATAAACCGGGTAATTGCAAATAACCAGTGGACACCAGACGTGTTCGGTGTCTCGGGAATAATAATAACTGGAAGTAACTCTCCTTCTGGTAGAGGATCTCACAGCCGCCATATTGTCGTCTGCGCGCCACCGTATCTATACGCATTGTATCGTCATTGGACGATCTTTTATCACCAACTCAAATTGTTGATTTGTGTTAATCTCGTTGAAGAAATGTTCTATAACTTTTCCTTTTTATTTTTAATACAAATTTTTATCTGACTCCAATGAACCTTTTGTATATCGTCAGCTGAAGTGTTGAATAATAAGAGTTCTGTAAGACAGTTCAGCCTAGGTCTACTTGTTTTTTGTGCGAATATTTTGAAACGGTCTTCTTAGATCGTATATTTTTAAATCAATTGCCAGAAAACTGAGAAATCGTCTGAAGTTCCGAAAAACTCGGGTCCGAATAGTGTCACCGGCGCGGCGTCTAAAATTTAACTCTTAACAACCCGCTATAATTCTTGCACAGTGACTGATCGGCACTCGGTATTATATGAAAATACTACATTAAAATATATAAACTAGGTAATTTATCGCTATTATATTACACAAATCACAAATGTTATTTATTTAGGGAAGCGAATCACGCAAGTAAAGAAATTTGAAAATATGTCCGTTGGACGCTGCTAGGTTGTTAAGGGTTAACCGGATGCTACCATCGGCGGAAGATAAATGACAGTCGGCGCGAAAGGCACGAAAACACGAAATGAACACGAACAAAGGATCCCGGACAGTCTGATTTACTGACGCTCCTCTCTGTTCTTGTTCCAGGTTAAATGGTAATTAACCGACCATGTACAACCTGAACGTGAACGTGAATCCTAATCCAGCGGCTGCCGCGGGTCTTCTCGGTGTCGCGGCGGCCGAGGTCACGCCAAGGACACCGGAAATCGTAAACTCCCTAATCGCCATGACCAATCCCTTCGAGGATTACACGAGCGAGAAGAGCAGGGACCGTACGGACTCGATTAGCAGTGGTGAGCCGAGCCCACCGAGCGTTCAGCACACCTGTAGTCAGCTCATTAAAGAAGGTACCCATCCAGTGGTGGCCTTGATATCCTACCGGGTCGCGGACTCTCATTTCTTATGTCCTCTCTCGAATCCGCCGCGACTCCAAGGCCGTCTCAGCCTTGCCCGTGCCTAATTTCGCTCTCTAAAACATCCTCTATCCGCTGGAGGGTCGAGTTCAGCTCGGTCGTGGTCCAGGCTGATCCAACTTGTTTCGTTTATTCGAATTTCCGGAACGATTTCCTTGAGCAACAGTCGTGTGTCAGTATCTACATGAGTCCCACAACCGCAGATCGTTTAAACAACGTGAATAATTTCAGGATTGAAGCTGACGCTGCAAACGAAGAGGCGGGCGAACGGGAGCGGAGATGACAGCAAGAAGAGGACGAAAAAGGAGGACGGAAGCGCGGACGACGAAGAGGAGGACGATTCGCCCAACAACCACAGCCGCACTGGAGTAAGAATCTCTCGCATACTGGTTCTCGTTTAAACGGTTAGACCTTGAAGAGATCTAACGATCTAACTCGATGACATGGTGTGTTAGACTCCTTTCTGTCGAGTGTTCGTTGTTTAGAGGCAACGCAGATGTTTCAGGTTTTAATTTTAGGTGATTTACCCTGAAAGTATATTTTGTAGTAACTAGTCTAGCTTGCTCGATTGAATATTCTCTAGTAATTAGTGGTATTAAACCTTGGTTGACTTAGCAACGTTGTTATAAGTAGCTTGAAATGCTTTCAGTTGACACCGGAGGATGAGGAAAGGCGCCGAAGAAGACGCGAGAGAAACAAAATCGCCGCGACCAAGTGTCGGTTAAAGAAGCGTGAGAAGACGGTGATCCTGGTACAGGAGTCCGAGATCTTAGAGACGCAGAACCACGACCTCAAGTCCCAGATCCAGGAGCTGGAAACGCAGAGGCGTAGGCTGGTAGATATGCTGAGCCTTCATGGGCCAACCTGCCTGAAGCAGGGCGGCACGGACACCTCGTATCAACAGTTCGCGGAACCCCTGCATCTACCCAGTTACCAGGAGAACTTTGTACATCCCCCCCCTGCGTTGAACCAGCCACAGAACTGCGTGACAGAGTATCCGGTGAAGGTGGAGGATTACGAAGGTGACTTCTACAGGCAGGAGAGTCCGTACGTGCCAACCTCGGATGCCGGTTGCACGGTGTAGTAGCTTTATTCGTTACAAGTAATCCCTGCTGCGCCATTTTGGGGAGCAATCTCTGTGGAGATCCGGTTTACCGGCTGGAGAAACTGCGCTAGTGTCTTTGCCAGCTGGTCCAACAGAGAAGAAGAGAAAGCAAGCATTCCAAGAAGATGTCGGTGAATAAGAATGTCGATAGTGCAACAGATGAGGTTCAGAATTGGCCTAAAATCTTATGGGAGTTACGTGTAACACACAAGTACTCTTGTCTCACCGTCTGTGATTAACAGCGATGTCATTGATAATCATGTTCAAGATAACCATTGCAATTGTTAAAAATGATATTATGCGTTTAAGAAATGATAGATGAAAGAGAATATTTCTTGAGTGTTTTCATTGCGCAACGCAACAGTACTGTAGACATTAGGTTTATCCTGTACTTCATCTTTAGTGGCAGCCAACTATGTTCAGAATATGTTCAGAGAGTGTCATGAATGTCATCCTTGTTGGGTCTCCCTTGTCGCTCCCGGTAAATCAGATTCTCCTGGATCTCCTTCCCTCCTCCGTTAGTTGCAAGTCTGTAGCTCATAAGTTGTTTATTATACCATAATTGCGCGCTCCTATGTCTTCTTTTCCGGTACCTTCGCCACTTTCTTTGTTCATTTTCCTGCTCACCTTCTATCTTCTTCTTCCTTTTCTTCGCCTTAAAATTTCTTCTTTCTTTTTTTAACCTGCCCCCTTATACTCAAAACGTTCAACGTAGAACGCTTAAAGACATTCCTTGAAAGTAACCCTTTCTTGAAAGTAAGTAACCAATTCCTTCAACATAAGTACTGTGACATTCTAAGGTATAATTAATATTATGGATAAACGTAAGATAGAAACGGATTGCCTTTGCAGTGCTGAGGAAACAATGATCTGTTGGTGTTAAGTGTTTATATGTGCCCGGTAGAAAATATTGAACTGCTCTACATTATATCCACACATGAATATAGAAGGAATAAATTGAATTACCAGTGAGTACCATGAGTCATTACTATAAGTGATCGGTTAAGAATCACGAAATTCAAAATCAAAGTAGATTAAAGAAGAGAATCATTGCAAAGACATTCCGTTGCTTTAAGTTAGAATCGAGAGAGCCTGTATTAAATCGCAATGCGTTATTTTTTATGTGACCATTTCTCGATTCACCAGTGAGAGAAAGTATATAACTCAGCATGTAAGTCTTCTGATATTGATTGTGACTATCATATTGTGACGCGACTGCGAGACGCGTTCAAAGGATACTTATAATTATACGAATAATCGAATGATATTTAATATTATGTACATGTGCATATTTTATACAGATATATATGTTATATATATATATATAAATATATATAGATATATACATAAATATATTTACACTCGCAGACACGCACATATATATAGATACGCGAGCGTCATTAACAGTTAATGAACAGTTAATTACATGACTATTAAATGTTTCATTAATATGACATGAGCCGAACGACATACCTCAACTTTATTGTGGGTAGTTACCCTCCCTCTGTGCGTTTGCCTTGTAATTTCACTCCCAGGTTGTTTAGTGCTGCCTACGTAATATGTAGACTGTAGACGTTTAAGGAAATTCATATTTCATTCACAATGTATTAGGAACTCAATCGCAGATAAGGGAAGGGCTTTATTAAATTTTGGAAACACGTAAACGCTTACAGTCTATCAACTCTGCCCTGTAACTCTGATCATGTAATTGTTGAAATTTTAATTGTCGATTCACGCAGTGTGTACATTGAGTGACAGTGATATGCAAGGGAATGCCAAAGAACCATCAGAAACATTGATCAGTGTGTACAGAATGAGGAATTATATTTTTTTCATTTTAATATGCTATTATTAATCTAGGGATCAGCAAACGCACTCTGGGGCTACGCTTAAGCGTTCTTGCAATTTACGAGAGTTAGTTTAATAGTGAAACGCTTCGAGTCCACGGACTAAAATGCTTTTCATCGTCGGAATGTTACCGCCAATTGATCTAACGAAGAAGATTTTTCTTGCACTTCGTCAGACGGAAGTGAGACAAAGTCTTCCTCTTATTGTTCTTCTTCACAGTATGCGATTTAAAAGATTAGCCCATCTATACTTGATGAACCTGTATGATGTCTATTCATCAAAATTGTTGAGTAAATACATTTAATATATTTACAGAAATATTTTCGAAGAGGATATGTACAAAATCTCATAATGATGAGGACACATAACGTATCTAGCTTCAAAGATGACAAAAATAATGACAAAATTTCATTCACGAATTTTTTTATTATAAATATTCTATTATCTTGTCGTTCTAAGTAAAAAATAATTTTCTAAAGTTATGTTCGTATATCTTAATATCTATTATATAAAAGTAGAAAGTATTAAATGGGTTAGTCATCCGAGAATGTTAAGTATATTTGTAAATGTGCAGGACAAACGTCAACACGTAACAGTCACACACGTGTGGTGCTACATATATTATATATTTGCTTTTTTATATAAATTTTATTAAGTTGCCTGAAGAGAGTATTTAATAGTTTAATACACATGTTAAGCGTGTAATATCGAGGTCTATTTACTAATGCAATGAGTTCGAGAAGTAATACTATCAAACATATTTTCAAATAGAGCTTCTATTTATATGAATCTTCTTTTAATGAACAATTTTTAAGAGTGAAAAACAGCAAACGTTTGATTAATGTTGCCGACAAATTGAAAGGATTAAATAGTATTGGATCTGTAACAAATTTATTATAAGCACTCGTGTTCAATCATTTCTCACATATAATGTGCAGACTGTTAGAAAGTATTGCATTTTATAATTAAACAAAAATATTCCGATCACGTTTGCAGCATACACTTATCAAGAGTCATGGATAAAACGGACAATTCTTATAAAAGTTTAGAATATATTTTGATAATTATGTTTGCTATTCAATACATACTGCCATTATTAAAATCCCAGATCCTGTTACTTGCAGTATCTGGCTCATAAGTTCATTGTTTTATTAGTAAAATGTATTGAAAAGTCTTTCTAGGAGATAAGTGCAGAGTAATTTTAATAACAAATTAGCAAACAGTGTAAGATTCTATTTGTCATAACAAAATCGTACTATTGTGTCTTTTATTACTGAGTACCTGGCCATGGTTTTCCATGCGACAGCTGTTTTTCCTTAGGAGAAATGCATTGAGTTAAAACTAGAAAAATGGCTGACAAAATTATATCATTGTAACCTAAGGAAAAATTTTATTCTTTAAATAAAAGTGCCTTCAATACTAATAATCTGTTATTTGTTTCATACCAATTTATGAGGTTCTAAGTAAATAATAAAACAACCTCTTATGATACACTTATTTTATTATAAAATTCATTATTATACACACACACATTCGCATACATTAATCACAATCATTTCAAAACAGAATACAATTTATTTTATAAATAAAGATACATGATGAGGAGGATGAGGAGAATAGCCTTATTAAACCTTAATTGTATCTATTTGATATGGATTTATGAACCCCTGTAAGATGAAAAGAGTCATTTAAGTAGAATCTATTCTAAACAATAATTGAATACAAAAAAAGTCAACAAATATACTTACACAATGATATTGTTAATTGGAATATGAATTAGTTTAACAAAGAATCCTATAAAGCCCATTATACAAAAACCAATGGCTGTGGCCAGAGCAATTTTCTGAAACTCTGAGAAAGATTGTACGATCAAACATAGCTTCTAGGTAATTCTGTAATAAAATTAATACATTACTGTAAAATGTGGAACCTTACCTTTGCGGTCAGGCTTTGTGCATCGTTTGACAAGACGAATACTGTCTTTAGCAAACTGGCGGCCAGGTTCAGTAAGCTTCTTCATTTGATCCATGATGCTTGTAAGACTGAAAACAAAATAAGTTGGATCTGTGTAATTTAAATTAATTTGAGTATGCTTACAAGTAAATTTATTATTAGAACGTTTGAATATAACCAATGCAGACGCTTTATGAACAGTGTGCAAAATGTACGTGTCACATATGTTTTTATAATTATAGAAAATCGCACGAGTTATATTGTGTGGATATTTTAGTTGCATTTAATGAAATGTTAATACGTAATTTTAAACCGATTAATTATACAAAATAATTTACAGGTTATAAAGAATATTGATTTTCTTATGGTTACTTTATGATTTTTAACTTAATTTACAATAAATAGTTGATAAAACTCAAATACTCACGATACGTTCGACCGAGTAACGTTTCACAAAGCGTTTGACGTACGAACTGCTGCACTCGTCAAGATTCGAGGCGCTACGTGGACACTGTGCTGTAAGAACGTCATTTCCTGACCACTGACGTTGGAATTACGGCATCGTAGCGGGAAGGCAATACCACTTCAAAATCGTGAGAAAAGTTCAATCGAAACAATAAAATTAAAAACCTAACATATTATATAAAAACTGTACTAGAGAGAAATTATTGTATATTTAAACACATTTGTAGAGTGTGAATGATTTTTGTCTTCATAAATTATATTAACAAAAAATGATGAAACAAATTGTCTTACAATTATTATATTACAATATTTGTTCAACAATAAACATTAATAGTACCTTGTTGAAAATTAACAAATAAATAATGAAAAGAAAATAAGTACTTATGCAATGGATAATTTAAATAAACCAAAATTATAGTTTAACATGTTTGTTTGGGGCTTCCATTAACATTCTGTGTTCCTAATAAATTGCGAGCAAATCTACTAGGACTACATAACTAAAATTATTATCACAGTTCGTCTAATCTTTATCTAAAATCTCCACTATCATTCTGTATTCTTAATAAATACTCATTTGACTTTTGACAGGAACGCATAACCAAAGTGCATTACCATTCTTTCACATTTCTCATCTTTATTTAAAACCTCTATAACTGTTCTCTGTTCCTAGTAAAACCAGAGCACATTTAACGAAAGTGCATAACTGAAAAGCATAACACAACAGTATTTTTAATAAATTAATGCAATATACAGTGATTTAATATTGCAAATTTCAACTTTTAAATTGACTGTTTCAACGTTTTTTCCAAATTGTAAAATTTAAATGCATTTATTCTATTTTCCTTTTTTTTGTTATTTGAATAGAAAGTACAAAAACTGAATATTGTTTACTTACACATCTTATATTATATTTAACTATTGTACAATGTAGTAATCCTTGTATGTAATTAAGAAGAAGATTAAAACTGTATTATAAAAGAAATTATAGAGATAGTATAAAACTGAAGGAACCATAGAGATGAAGTAAAATCAATAGGTATAAAGGAAAAAGTGGTAGGAGTTGAATACACAGAGTGAACGGTAAAAATTATGAAAAAAAGTTTAATTTATTAATTAAATTAAATCATTTGAAGTCTGGACACAAAATTCTATACGTACAACATCTACGTATACTCTAAATCTGTGGCTAAAGTGCACGACTTTACCTTAAGTTTATTTCCAATTCTCACCGTTATTAGCGCTTTCTACATCTATACTCTGTTGGTAATGTAGAAAGCGATCCGACAATGCTAATGGCACTAACAACAGATAGAACAAACCAGCATGCAATGTAAATTTTTATCCCATGGCCAGGTGTTACGTGATCACATTATCATTTTCATATCACTTGCAATCTTATCAACAGAGTACATATAAATACGAATAAATAAATAGAAAAACATGTTCTTTTGTATTTCTTTGCCGCAATATTAAATTTTTCACATCATTGAACACGTAGTCCCATAAGATGTTCAGTCTAGTATTTTTTTCTTATTGGAGCTAACGATGTGTTGTCGTACCAGAAAATGGCAGCATGAAAGTGCCAATTATTTTATAATAAAGGAACAAAGTATATCAAATTGCAAACTTATAAAATACATTTAAAATTCATGACTTTTTATGTCGTTCGTATTGTAACGCTATCACGTGATTGGATAGGCACGGTACGACGGTAACGCCAGGCAAGGATAGCTAAAGCTGCGTTCCGTGGTGGAAGCTCATAAATTGAGAGGGAACTACGAACGGTTTAGCGAGAACATTATAGACACAGTATATTATTGTAAAACACTCAACGCGGACGGCCGAGCTGAGAGGAAGTCGGAAACCAGAGAATTGTTATTTTCAGCTAGAATCATCTTTGGTCTTCACTTCAGCAAACCAGATACATTGTAAGGGGCCATAAATTCTTTTCCAAAGATTGAGACAGGTTACATTTGGTCCTCACTTCAGCAAACCAGATACATTGTAAGGGGCCATAAATTCTCTTCAAAAGGTTGTCACGTGTTACATCCGGTCCTCACTTCGACGAATTCGATACATTGTTAGCTGTCGACGCGTTCGCTTTTACGAGAACATTGTGTGTTTCTCTGGGTCCCGCGCTTTCTTTCAGCATATGCGCATGGAATCGTTCCCGCGCATTAACCAGATCTCCTCCACTGGAGGAGGAAGGAGAAAACAGGACCAGAGAAGAGGGGATGCGAGCCGACAATGAGCGAGATTTACAACGAAAAAGCAGAACGATTTCAAACCTCGAACGTTTAACTACTTATAAACTCAGAAATAAAGCAGAAGTCAAAATTTCCACAACCAAAAGTATAAGTTTTATTTCACGCGCCACGAGCAGAGTACCTTAGTACTCCACGGGCACCTTACCCACGTAAAGTTCCCTAAATTTTCCCTAACCGCGAACGGCATAACGCAACAGTATATTTGTACAATTTCTCGCGTTCTCGTGTCCAAACGCGTTTTATAGAAATCGCCATAAGCTTTGGTAAGTTCTGGTAACTGATGTTACAATCGATGCGGCGCTTCAGTCAGTACGAATTTTTATGATCGTCTGACGGCAGTCCTTGCGCTCAGAAGATTTTCTCTCAATTTTCTCGCCACGAGGAGCATATTTCTCATCAACCAGTGATTTAATGAAAACCTGTATTGCTACGGGAAACCAACGCAACACGTAGTGCTCGTCAATCGCGGGTCCGAAGTATAAAATATGTGATTGTTGTTCTTGTAATAAGTTTCACGGTTCTCGCCATCTTAGTCTGTCATCAAACGTCCGGGAATAAAATTCGTGCTTCTCCGACCATTCTATTGAATTTGTACGCGATATTTCTGAAGAAGAAGCCCGCAGCTTTCTTGGTAAATCGTGAGGACCGTTCCACAATAAATGCGTGTACGGTGAATGGAACTTCCTTTTTCTCGATCTTATCGCTGACAGTGACGTTGTACGTCGTTGCTGGAAGTATATTAAGAACATTGCACGACTTAAACCTGTGAAACTTTGCTCCTTCGCTTGAAAGGGATTTTCCCAAAGATACATCTTTGATTGTGCATCGAAGATTCTGCCCTTCTTCAAGGACGTGGGATGATATACTGAAGAGGGAAGATCTCCTGCATGGACCGTTCCGAGGAGTAAGTCTGATTCTCATATCGTTACGAGTATATTTTTATTTTTATTTTTCCTCCGTCGTTTAATCTCTTTAAATGTATGCGAAAGAAAGACGCACCGTGAATCCGTGAATTCGAATCGCCACGCCTTCGGTAGCGAGTTATAGCCGGAAGTGAATTGTTTTAATTCGTTTCCGTAAGATTCTGCGGAACCATGACAGAAAATCACGGAGCATGACGACGATTGTCATGATAATTATCCCTGTTCTGGTGCGTTTAGAAAGGAACGTGTTTCGATGAATTTTCACTAATTCGGTAAGTGGAAACGGAACTCGGGCACGAATAACGTTCTCACCATGCGGTAGTGATTTTGTTATGTATTCCGCGTGTGCCATTACATAAATGCAGGTAGATCAGCTTGGATTAATTATGAGCTGTCAGATAAGCGGAAGATAGATGGCTAGAATAATAGGCCCTCCACGAAATAAGTTATCAATATGGTGGCACGTTTCTTTGTATTATCGTATAATCGAACGTTAGGTTAGTTTTCTATTTATTTCATCTTATAAAAACATAACTAACATTCGAAACAGTAAAACTCATCGTGAATAAATAATTCATTAAATCTTTACATTAGAAATTCCAATTGTTAATTACTACGAAGTTTCTAGGGATATTTCGAAATTTTGATAGTTTTTTCATCCGATTAAATTTTTACTATGTGTACTTTGATTACTATAACAAAGTTTATAAACGACCCTCTGTTGTACACCGTTACCACAGTTCGCCATATACAAACGAAACTCGATACGAATATGCGATTGTCACGCGATACGAATCTCAATCAGCGTTTCAGCCGTTACGTTTTACAAATATGGGCTACTGATTGTTATACGTCATCAAGCCAGTCGTGTCTGAAAAATTCGTTGCACCTACACGATCTGAAATTGACTCCTTTCTACTTTCGAAAATTCTCTACGGAAATTTCATCCACGGACTGTGTTACTTTGTACTTGTTGCTCGAGGAGGTTATTAAAAATACTTGTATCGATGCATAATGTATATTTTTAGTTTCGTTCGCACCGATTATCTTCGTATTTTGCGTCAGACGTTGACTTAGGTGTCCTTCTCGATTGTCAATACTGATCCTTCCTGTACGCTTCCAGTTGAAGCATGTCGTTGCAGCTGATATTCATATTAGAAATGGAATCAATTTACATAAACGGTACCGTTTCGTCCCACTTTTATAGTGCATTTTGTTTTTGAAAGTTCGTCAGAAATAAATTTGAGAAAGCAGTGTTGCATGGTGCATACACCGTTGCATGTAGTGCGCTTCTCTACGAGCGGGCGCACATGGTACAGTAGGTACTTCCAATGTTCTGTCGTCATGCCATGAGTCATCGGCCACCGGACTCTATTCCCCTTAAAGCCGAACGATTGCGAAAGCGGCCTACGCGCCTTGGTTCTTTTGCTGCATTGAAATTTTCTCGCGAAATTTAGTCGAATTAATTGGTTGGAAAGGGTAACTGTTAGGTGAAATTCATGTTGCCAGTGACGACGACCTGTACCTGCATCAGGATTCCAATTGAATACAATACATTCTCAAGTCCCGGGCACCTACGGCTTATTATCAGCCTATCCAGCAAAGGAAACTAACCGAAATAGAAAAAATTGGTCACCAGTTGTAAAAGGAATACTTCTTTAGCGAACGAGGGTGATATCAATCTTTACACTAACTACCGCCAGGTGGCAACCACCATTAACGGTTTTTTCCCGCTTTAAAAATGAACCTCTCAACCGGGTGAACTTTCTTATTATAAAAATTATTTCATGCTAAGAAAAATCACTCTTTAAGACACATAAGTGTGATTTAATTTATTTAAAAAATAATGAAACCTGACTAACAGTCTCTGAAAAGACAAATGCCACGATTGAAAAATTAGCGTCACCCGAACCGTTCTTTAATAGTGTAATAAAATGAAGCGTGATGCGTTAAGTGTCATTTTATTCATCGCACCCTTATGCACCCTCGGGTTATTCCTACTGACCGACTGATGTCTATACATTTACGTGGGACGCATGCGCAATCCACCCCCACTCGAAGACCACCCCCGTTTCATGCGGAGGGTGCGAAGCCAAACGTAACCCCCTCAGTAAAGAATTAAACGCGATTCCGCGAAGTGCCCCCTATAAATGTTAACATCTCGGGCAGCTGGTAGTGTACATGTATATATAGATTAAATTATATTTTTCTACGTTTTGAGTCGAGGATATAGATGAATTTTTTACGACACACACGTTCGACTGAGAGTGACAATACGTCCGCAACGGTTCCCCGTGAGACAGCAGACAGATCGATATAGTAGAAAGTTCGAAATTTTTCTTTTGCTTCCACGGGATTAGGTAGGCCCAACAGAGTCCAACTTTACCGATGGGTAGAACAGATATGTCAAAAACGCTGAACGCTTATAGAATGTAAGTAGTTTTTCCCCCCCACTTACGAATTCTTCATTTACACGACATCACATATATATAAACGACTGGTGATTCTATCTTTTCCTGGTCATTTCCCTTTTCCTCCTTTTTCTCCTCTTTCTTACGCCACTGCGTTTTTACGTAAATGTACCAAGCTCTAATTGCTGCGCGCACTTTCATTAGAAACCTCGCACAGTATGTATCCTGCCAACCCCTGTTGTCCAGCGACCTGCCATTCATCGGAACCCACGGTACAGAGAAAACATGCGTAGGTTGCATGTGTATAGGACGAAAGGCGTCAATATATCGACGCGGAAAATTGGCATGAAAATTTCGTTGCATGTCGCCCTCCGCTTCCGTCAGCTGGAAAACACTTTCTCTGGTATATCATAAATGGTTCCGTGGAAAATCGATGCGTCGCTGGGAGACTTTCAAACTTTTCCTGCACGTACCAGCGTTACTTATGCTGACAAAATCGATTCGTAATAACGCCGAATCGGTCCTGCCAGACCGATTTCCTTTAAAGCTACAGGAAGCGACCATTAACGGTGGCAACGAGAATGGTTTTGTATGATTAATTCTCTAGGCGGTAACATTTCAGCGAGGTCAAGGCTTGAGGATGATTGTACGAGGTCAAGGTTTATAGACGCAGAGTCCTGAATTCCTAACCTTGCCTTACAATATTCAGAATTTTTCATTGCAACTATGCGAGTATGCAGTATGCAGAAACATTTATCGATTTCGCGAATATTCCTTCTTGCCATTATTTCTCTTTCTCTCTCGAAATTCCATTGTCTGTTATATAGGTATATACATTCTGTCGCATAAAAGTACACATTAAGACGCGCACGCGCTGAAGTATCGAGCCATTGATTTTGTTTGGTTTAATTTGGGTCTGGTATAGACCCAGGTCTCTTATCGAATCGGATACCGTTGCAATTGATCTTTTCATTTATTTTATGATATTACCTATAATCGTTCGAGTAATGTGCGCGTCGTGGTAACGATAACTTTCATCAGGTTTCTTTCTTGAAAATTGATTCGCTAGCCATGTCGCATTAGAGAGACGTCCCGACGGCACAGTTGCGCATGCCTGTACGCATTAAACCATTGATTTCTGTGAGTTTAACGCGGCCCTAATATGGGTAAGTTTCAATTGAAATTACTTTTGTTACTATCTGTATTGACTGTTTATAAAAGTGTTTCGAACTGTTTGTAATCGTTTGTCAAATTTTAACGGCTGAACGTTAGGTAAAAATGAAATACTTTTCAATTTGGAAACTCTTCTCTCCGCCAATGTCGGATACGTTCTGCTTGCCTCGACTGAAATACTTCTCCTCGATGCCTATTTCTGATTGCGGTTAATTATCGGCGCGTAAAGCAAGTCGCTCCAAATATCGTTTACCTTCGGTTTACCTTTTCTTTTGTGTTTCCTTTCCAGTCCTGTGTAACGTCTACTGTAATAATATCAGTAATTCTATTGTAAACTTTAAAGTATGATAAAGTTTGTTTATTGATAATTTTAAAGGAAAAGATCGCAAAATAAAGCCATCATATTTATAACATTCTTGAATTGAAATGCTGTTTCTGAATATTGTTTTAAATACTATTTGTGCAGATTATTTACTACTTGGTATTTAAAATAATTTTCTACCCAACATTGCCTGTATATTTTGATTTCTTATTTACAGCAAAAAAATAGAAAACATTGGTAGAATGACGGCCATGACTCAGGAAGAAATTGTGGCTGGTGCCAGGACTGTAGCACAAGGGCTGGAAGCCCTTCTTGTAGAACACGAAGGTCTTCTGCTAGGTCTACAGTCTCAAGATGCACCAGCTGCAAGAGACAAATCTAGCTTATTATCGAAAAACATTGAGATGATAGAGTTGGGCCTTGGCGAAGCTGAGGTTATGATGGCACTGGCCAATCATTTGCAAAAGGTTGAGGCTGAGAAACAAAAGCTCAGAACACAAGTTAGAAGGCTGTGTCAAGAAAATGCCTGGCTAAGGGACGAATTGGCTGGAGTACAGCAGAAACTGCAAGCTAGTGAGCAGGCAGTAAGTGAATAAGTTACATTGGTTAATGTTGAAATTCGCAAAGAATTTGAATTGAAATTATGGTACCTGTGATTGCTTTTTAGGTGGCTGGATTGGAAATTGCTAACAAACAATTAGAATTCATGGAAAGCATGAGGCAATATGATCATGATCCTTCTGTTGATGACGAGACTTCTAAGGACAGACCGAAGGGTGATCCTGTGGTTGATCTGTTTGCTGATGATGATGTGGATGACCGAAACAGTAAGTGTAGGTTCACTTTTCATTTTTATTCTCGAGCACCTTTAGGGATGCTTAAATTGTCCCTTAAGTCTGTGTGAATTTTATTACTGAATTTTATTAAAATCCTCTTGGAATTATCTTTTGTATGTTGGAATACAATTTGAAACGTTCTCAAGCTTATTGCTGATTATCATGTTATGGCACTCTGTAATAAAATTCTAATTTCACACAGACTTAAGATGTCTAATAAGGACCATCCCTTGCAAAGTTCCTCATTTTATTTACAGCAATATCACCGACACCGCCATCACAATTTGCACAACAAGTGAACGCTGGATACGAAATACCTGCGCGCTTACGTACACTGCACAATTTGGTTATACAATACGCAGGCCAAGGACGTTATGAAGTTGCAGTACCTCTTTGTAAGCAAGCGCTGGAGGATTTGGAGAAGACTTCCGGTCACGACCATCCTGATGTGGCCACAATGTTGAACATCCTCGCTTTAGTGTATAGAGACCAAAATAAATACAAAGAGGCAGCGAATTTGCTGAATGACGCCTTGTCCATTCGAGAAAAGACTCTAGGCGAAAACCATCCTGCGGTTGCGGCTACGTTGAACAATTTAGCTGTCTTATACGGAAAACGAGGCAAATACAAAGAGGCTGAGCCACTCTGCAAGCGTGCTCTTGCGATCAGAGAAGTGGTCCTTGGGCGCGATCACCCGGACGTTGCCAAACAGTTGAATAACCTCGCATTACTTTGCCAGAACCAGGCTAAATACGAGGAAGTCCAGCGTTACTATCAACGGGCGCTTGAAATTTATGAACTCAAACTTGGCCCGGACGATCCAAATGTTGCGAAAACGAAAAACAACTTGGCGTCCTGTTTCCTGAAACAAGGGAAATACAAGGAGGCAGAAGTTCTGTACAAACAAGTGTTGACTAGAGCACACGAGAAAGAATTTGGTGCTATTGCTAGCGATAATAAACCAATTTGGCAGGTAAAGTAAGTTCCATACTTTTCATGTACGTAGGGAAGAACTTATGAAAGCATTCGTCATGGTGATCATTGTACCTCAGGTCGCCGAGGAGAGAGAAGAGAATAAGCATAAAAATAAAGGAAACGCTCCCTACGGAGAATATGGCGGTTGGCACAAAGCAGCCAAAGTAGACTCTCCTACGGTTACGACCACTTTGAAAAACCTCGGTGCGCTGTATCGAAGACAAGGAAAGTACGAAGCTGCGGACACTCTGGAGGATTGTGCTTTGAGGTCACGGAGGGAGGTTAGTTGAGTTGCTATATAATTCATTCACCTAGATGAATTTTTACTGTAGATAAGTTTAACGAAAGTAGTACAGTAAAAGAAAGTATATATAGCAATTGGTAATTAGATAGTTTGTTACGTTGTTCGTTTTGATCGCAAGTGATGTTACTTAGATTTAATAAATGGTGTATCCGTTGCTCAAATTCTTTGTTTCTTTTGAAGCAGACATTGGAGTTTGTGAAGCAAGGAAAGGTCGCGCAAATTCTTGGGGAAGGAAAGGGCTCGACAAGACGCGGTTCGCGGTCCAGTCTAGCGAATAACGAGCAAGAGCAACACGACGAGGTAAGTTGTGTTAGTCGATAAGATATATATATATATACATATACATATTAGTTGCACTGCATGTCGTAGCACACGATTAGTCGTCTACTATCCTTTTCTTCTTTCTTTTTGTTCTTTTTTCGTTATCCGGCCCGTTCTGACGAATTGGCGATACAACACACAATCACAGGGCTCGCTGCCGCTGGCACAAAGGGCGCTACATGATGGACAGTCTGGCCACCACGACGCTAGTTCTAACAAACCCGGTTTTAAAAACAAGATCTTTCAAGCTTTCGGGATTCACTCCTCCACGTAGGATTATCCTTCGTCTGTAGTATTGCTACTGTCGTTCATTTATGCCCCTGATCACTCGCAGAGATTTGTCGGTGTATCACTCGAGGTCTGTGCTCCCAGGGCGAGAGAGGAGATACTTAATCGTTGACGAATATTAACGAGGATTTATTGAAACGATGCCTGTCCATGATTCGTCTTGTCATGAAGACAGTGTCCCTGGATCGAGAGCTGCTACGGACACGACCCCTAGTGACAACTCGTAATCACCGGGAGGCATTAAAATGTGTAGTTGAATTGTAGGAACGGGCCTTTTCGGCAATTCTGGGCATTTGATAACTGTTTCCCGCAGCCAGGTATCCCCGGTAAACAGTACACCGTAACTGCATATTCTTT